CGGGTTACGACCAACTTGGGATACGCCCAGAGTCACGGAACGGATTAAGTTCGTATCCCGAGGTACCACTGTACAAGCTTTCTGCTTGGGCTTCATGGGGAGCCAGCTTGAAAAGCTGGTTTTCCTCTCTTGATGGTGATAGGTAGCTTCTATCCTGACGACCATTGGGATCCTGGAAGAGCCTCTAGGGAACGCCCGTCTTCATGGAGCCCGCCTGATTGCTGCCCTTCTTCACACCAACACACCCAGTATTAATCAGGAGCTGTGCCGGCTTAACACCATGGACTTGCTACTGGTGAGTGGTGAACTAGGTGTGCAATTGCGGCATGAAAGTGGATTTCCCAGGGATAGGGCATTGGTATATCTTTATTTTCATACTGGAGAAGGTCTGTCTTTGTGTTTCCTGACTTGATGGCCCATAATCAATTATCTTTTTCTCTAGCAGCAGGCTTAGGGGAAGTGTGAGTCTTGTGGAGCATGCTGAAACTGGCAAGGAAAGTCTGTGTGCATCTGTCACCCTGGTATGGCTGCTCATGATTGATATGAATGTAGCTTCTTCCTCTGTCTTGTTCCAGGACCTGTTTTTTAAATACACTTGGAATAACTTCTTGCATTTCCAAGTAGAACTGTGTATCACAGCTGTCCTGATGCACTCTGTGCCTGGAAGCAAGCAGGTCATAGAAAATGAGGAGGAGATGAAGGGAAACGTGTCCTCAGAAAATGCTGAAGCACCAGAGAACTTCATGGTGACTCATGTAAGCATCTTTAAACATTGATTCAGTCTTCTGAAGAGAGGCAGTAACAAACCCAGTAGTGCATCAGAGAGGAGGCTCTTCAGACACTTAGTCAACCTTCTTCCACAGCACTTGGCAGACGCTGATCACACAACTAGCATCAGTGGTATTTTTAGTATTTCTGTGTGGAACGCACGTCTCTCTAGGGTACTGTCTCCTTTGGGCCTGGCTTCTGCTGGCTCTTCTCAAAGAAGCGTTGCCTGCTTCTTGGCTAAGACTGCTTTCCTGCAGATCCTGGAAAAAGTGCCCTTCCTCCCCCTCCTCCTTTTTCGGAGGACCTACAATGGGCACTTGGGCTGTCTGATGCACTCTAAGGGGTTTCTTGTTCCCTGCCGTTCCCTGGAAGTAAATGTAAGGGGGGAATCCAGGCTCAGATGGCTCTTCTAAGATGCACCTTATTCATCTGGCATTCCAATCTTGGTGAATATGAAGGCAGAAAAAAGCAAGGTAAAGGGGTGAGGGGTAACTCTTAAGGTTCTCTCTGCCTTTGCATGGTAAGGCCATGGTTGTTTGTAGACAGAGCCCAAATCTAAATTGTGCTTTTTAAGTGATTAAAAGTGTTCTCATCAGAAATATTAAAACTGAATGTGACAGTTTTGTAGGCAAGAATGTTTCTAAGCGTTGTAAAATGGCAACTCTCCTATAGCTGGAAATTAAAATTTACATTTGCTACGTAGGCTGTGTGGATGGTTCCATGCAGAATAGGAATAGCCAGCTGGCGGCCTCCTCTCAGCTGCCCCTGCGTTTTCCTTTGCAGCCCAGGACCACAAACACACCCTGTGCGGTTGAAATTGTGCAGCTGAAATTCAGCAAGTGGTTGAAAGTTGGCTTCTTTCTGTTGTGTCCTAGTAGAAACTGAAATAGATGTGCAAAGCCTCAGATAAGATTAACACAGGCAAAACAGCCTGCCTATGTGATATCAGAACTTTCTCACGTCAGAAAAATAAGTGCAGCCCTGGCCTGCAGGGGAAAGGGCAAATACTGATTTAGGATCACTCAAAGTAGCTGGTTAGTTCCTGGTGGTTTATTAAGAGCATGGGAAATTTCAAGTTTAACTTGAGCAGATGTCTAGGTCTTTGGATGCTCTCTGTCTAGACCAGTGCTTCCCAAAATTCAACTTCCAGAATTCTCATCAACAGCCATGCTGGCTGTGGAATTCTGGGACTTGAAGTCTGTACCCTTGGAAATTGCCAAGATTGGGAAACACTGAGACTGGTCTAGGAGGTCCTGTTTTTTTTCTGTTCTTTGCTGAGAGAAGGAGCTCCAGGTCCTGATTAGTTGAGAAAGGGGCCCCAGGCCTGATTGCAGGGAAGCTTGCAGGCTTTTTTGATTGCTGGCACACAGCTGCCTTTGGGTGCCATTTCTCAGGAACTATAACTGGAAGGTTAAACCATGCACAGCAGTAGCAAAACTGGCTTCAATCCCCATGGGTTGCTTAAGCAAATGCCACATTAACATGTCTGCCACCCCCAAATTAGCATTGTTGCCCTTTGTCTTCAGGAGATGCACTTTCTAATAGAAGGCAGCCCTTTAGATGATTGAGTTTTGTTACTTTTAAATGTGAATTAACCCTTTTGGAAGTGTCAACCCATTGAGATTGGCCTCAGTCTCATGCTGGGGCTTGGGTGCTCCACCATCACCTCATTGCCACCCCACCCCTTTCCAGTATCTGTGTTAGAGAGAAGTTTCAACTTCTGGTCAGAGTTACTTCTGTCCCTAAAATACTTGTCCTCTCTTCCTCTTCTAGCTCTTCCAAAAGTGCTGCTTGGTGCAAAGGATTCTAGATGCCTGGGACACCAATGACAAAATACAGTAAGGCTCTGAGGCTGCATGTTTGCCAGACTTCCACGTAACCTGTTATTTGTCTATGTTTTGTTAGGCTCCATCAGAGTGTTTTGCATAGTTTTGGCTGAGCTCATGAATGTGGAAAGACAGGCAGGCATTTAGCCTAGAATACCTCCAGAATAACTTGTTCATCTGAATTGCTCGATATCCTTATAAAATTCCATGCATGTTATCTTTTTCTTGCTTAGCTTTGTTGTTGATTTCTCTTTGGGGAGCAACAGAAAGAACAGGGAGAGGGAGAAAGAGGAAAATACAGCTCGTGGGAAGTGCAAATATTCCAGTACTCTGCTAGAGTCCTGGATAAATACACAGAGGCAGAGGAAACTGCTTTCTTCTGAGTCAGAGAACCCTGGGCCCCTTTGGCTGGCAGTAGTGGCTCTCCATCTTTTTTGGAGATTGAGTGCATGATGTTTGGCAAGCAGCTAAGCTACAGCTCTGCTTCCTAGCATAGAGATCATCTGTCCAGTAGAGTGTGTCATCTGTCCTGAGCATCCTCACCAGCAGACTAGAGACAAGCCAGCATCGTCCATGATGGATTCTCCTTTGTCTTCCATTCTTCAGTGCTGTTCCTCACTTTTTTTTTTTCAGGGCAGAAGGAGGAATGAGGCGTGGCAACATGGGCCACCTTACCCGAATTGCCAACACAGTTGTGCAAAATATGGAGAAAGGCCCCTTGCAGAACCAAATCAGGGAGTTCATCAGAGGTAGGAGATGGTGGACAATGGTGGAGTAATCTGCTGGAATTTACCTATAACCTCCCAGCCCTGTCTCTTTCTAGAGCACACTGGGCCAAACCTGCTCAGCCCAAATAAGGTGCAGGAAGTCCTGCTTGTACGTTGTTTGCCTGATTAGAGAGATGGATTGAGGCTTCCTCTTGAACAATGCCTTTGGGTGGGTTGGGCCGCTTTTCTTTTGATGATTGGCTTGTACATTGGCCTTCCTTGAAAACTAGTAGCTTTTCTGGTGAAAAATATATCTTAGGATCTTGTTGGATATTCCTCAGATGCCTTTTGTTTGGGGTTCAGTGAACCTGATCAGTGGTGGTACCCCATCATTGGAACTTTCTCCCCAGTGAGGCTGACCTAGTACTGTTTCACCTTTTCAATTCCAGGAGAAAAGTCCTTTATTTGCCATTCTGTTTAAATAAATGTTTTGAAACTTATTTGTCATTCACTTTATTACTGTCTCACTATTCTGCATTTAATCTTTAATGTTCTTGACTTTCAAGCCACTCTGGAAATTCTTCATACTTAAGATTCAATCTGCTAAAGAAATCTCTGGAATTAAATACATTTAAACCATTCTGGGCTTCATTAACAAAGATTCCCTCTCTCTGCCCGTCACCCAGTTCTGATATTTGTCGATGTTTTCTCAGCCAATGACAAGGATAGTGAGATTGGGATAATGCAGAGACCAATCTGGGGCGAAAGGAGTCCACAGCAGAGCCAGTTTGGCTCTCAGGCCTCATCAGTTTTGCCATACAGACGGCTCTGCAGCGTTAGGCTGGTGTTCTTCCCGTCCCTGACCAGGGAAAAATGACAGTGTTTTCCAGTGTGGGACCAATGTTCTGAATTGGTTGCCGTGCTGCATCCGGTTGACTCCCAACCAGTTTCCAGCCTGGGGAGCTGATAGGACAGGATTCTGTCCCTGCAGTTTCAGTATTAGGAAGAGGCTGGCTGATCATCATGTTCATCAAAGCACAACCAAGGACTTGCTGCAGCAAGTAGGCTGAGCAAAAATGTGGTATCCAATTGATAAGTAGGTGCCTGGGCTGACGTCATCCAGCAACTCAGGCAGATTGAATCCTGCTCAAGTTTGCTGGCCTTGTGTCTGAACTTGGCCAGTTTTCTTTGCCTTAAGTAGGTAGGAGGGCTGTATCTAGCAATGTGGCAACCAGCTAGAGGGGATTTTGAAGCTGTCAGTGCCTCTAAGCAACCACCACATACTGGTTAAATCAGAAAGGCTGGAGGAAACATCCTAGAGTTTCCACTATACAGGATTTGACATCTTTGCATTGCAGGGGCAAATCATCTGTGTACAGATGGCTTCATTCTTGTCTGTAATAAATTGTCTAGTCTAACGCTAACATGGGTTCCTACATATTGCTCTCCTCCGCACCTCTTTCCTAATAGCAGATGTTTCTGTGCCAAAACCACACTTACTGAGGAGCTCTGATTCTGGCCAGTCTGAGGTTCTGGTTCCTTCTGGGTGGGATTGCCTCTTGTTTTGGCAGTCTGAACCCTAAAGTCTGCTTTCTTGCAGGGCTTCCTGAAGATTGCAAGGGACGTTGGGAGAGCTTTGTGGAGGAAACTTTGGTGGAAGCCAACCGAAGAAATACTGTGGATTTGGTGAGATGGTATTTTGTTAGCTGTCTTTACAACCTGTATTTTGAATAGGGGAAGGGGGTCTGAGGACATGTCCAGCAACAGCAGCCACTGGGGCTCCCTTCCCAGTAATGGAAGCAGTCCCAAGAGGTGGTGGGAGATGGAAGAGGCCAGTATAAGGTGGTGTTGGCTTGTCCCTCACTGCTGATGTTCATAGCAGTTCTCCTCTGTACAGGTAACTGCCCATCACCTGCACTCCTCCAGTGAGGATGAGGACACAGAGGCTACCTTTCCCAGTGAAGTCTCTCTCCAGCAGGTAACCTCCATGATGGCAAGCTAAGTGTGTGTGTTTGTTTATTTTACTAGGTTTATAGGCCATTCCAATCATGCCATAGTTATGTGTTAGTTAATGGTTTTGTGAAAAGCTACTGTAACAGGGTCAGGGCCAGGATTTGATCAGGAGATCAGGTCCAGAGGACAGTGTTGATGGCTTCTTAGAAGATCTTGGAGTCAGTTTTTGTGGAAGAATAAAAGGGGAAACGGGTGGACTAGGGTGCACATCCTGAAGCTTCTGGGCCCCTTGTGATCCCCCAAAGCCTTAGGTGTAACCCCCACAGACCTGCAGAGGCTGCAACTACATCATGATTTTAATCGTGACAGAAAGGTCTGGAACATAATCATCATTTTAACTGCATATTTAAGGTGACTTACACCCTTTTGAAGAAGAGCAAGGGAGATAATTGTGCCATGTTGGTGGGGTTCTTTGCAGATATAGTAGCTCACATTTGCTGAGGGTTGGATGCCACCTTTGTAGGATGAGCTCTGCCTGCTGTAGGTTTGACCCATGGCTGAATTTGGGGAATGATAAATCCCTCTTTGAGGAAGGGTGCTATCTGCCTTGAAAATGGCGGTGTGCTATCCAGCTGAATTAGACAACCTCTATCTCTAATCTTCCCTTTATGGGGGAGATTTTAGAGAAGATGATGGGGCTTCCAACTACAAAGGATCCTGGATGAAGCAGATTATCTGAATGGCTTCTGGTTAGGATTCAGTCCTGAGCGTGGCATGGAGATGGCATCAGTCACTCTGGAGAATGCAGTGACCTATGTCGGAACCTGGATGAAGAGAATGCTCTCCTCCTGATTCTGTTCTGTTGGTGACACTTGATGCCATTGACCATGGGATCCTGGGTACACTGCTTTGCAGTAGTTCCACTCCTTTGGGAGTGAGCAATTCGTAAGTGGCAGAAGAGGCGTGCTCAAGCCAGTGGGTATCACAGGGTTAGCTCCCTCACCCAGGTTATTATCATATATGTATAAGGTGCTGGGAGGTGGGGGTATGAATGGTCATCAGTTGGTTTGGGGTGAGGTACCCTCAATATGTTGATGATACTCAGTTGTACATTGCCACCCTAGCCCAGGCCAGAGATTTTGTGAACCTCCTTACTTGGTGTCCTAACGTACTAGGCTGTGAGGGTCTAGATGGAGCAAAACAGGCTTAAACTGAATTTCAGCAAGATGGAGCTATAACCTTTCTCCAGAGTATCTTGCTACCATAATTATGCTCATTCCTGCAACTTCACCCAACACCATAGACTAGATCTCTGGTCTCGGGTGATGCAACCTTTGAAAGGCCCATACCTCTGCTGTGGTAGACCTGATTAGGGTTTTTATGAATGCTTTATATGCCTAGTTGTGGATAGTACACGGGGTTTGGACTTCCACCAAATAATTTTTTAAGGTCTAGATAGAAGGATCCGAATGGGTTCTGGCCAGACACATCACCTGTCCCTGTGAATTCACAGATGACTACTCAGAGAACTGCAGCTGCAGATTAGTAACCAGTTCTCTTTTTCTCTCTTAGGCATTTTCAGAATATCAGGTTCAGCAGATGACAGCCATTTTCATGGATCAGTTTGGCTTTAATGATGAAGAGTTTGCTGATCAGGATGACAACATCAAGTGAGTCCCTTTCCCTGTACCACCTCCCTATAACCAGGATCCTTATCTGAACAGGCAGAAAGCCAAGGGGTAGTAGAACTCCCTTGGTCCAAGCAGGGAGCCCCCCTTTGGGCTCTTCTCCACCTGCTCTTTCATCAGGATAGGAGAAAAGTAGAGCGAGTCAGGTCATTTTACCCTCTCAGAAACCAGGATGTTAGCTCTTGTGAGGATAAACATACATAACCTTCCCTTAGAGAAAAGGTTGGGGATCAGTGTGGCAAATATTACTTTCTGGTGAGTATCAGAGCCATGTAAAAGGAAAACTTCCTAATAATAAGATCTATACACAGTGGAGCAGTCTACTTGCAGAGTTGAGAGTTCTGCATCTCTGGAGGTTTTACGAAGAAGCTGGACAGATACATTTGGGGATGGCTTAATTGATTTTCTTGCACGTTGCAGAAAGTAGAACTAGAAGATCCCTGTGGTCTCCTCCACCTTCACAATTCTATGATTCTATATGTGCCTTAGTTCCTAGATCTAGGTTTATCACATACATTTCTGAAAGCAGCCCCTTACAACCTTCTTTCTATCTATTCCAGTGCCCCTTTTGACAGGATTGCAGAGATTAACTTCAGCATTGATGTAGATGATGACAGTGTAAGTAGTCCAACATGCCAGACTTAGGGACTGCAAATGCTGTCTCCAGAGGCAGTGAAAACAGCTTTTTCAGCAGCCAGTTCATGTGTTGCAGCACTGACACATTTTAAGAACCCTCCGACTGCAGGGAGGGTGCTGGGAAGCAGTACCAGCACCAGGGGTTGTAGAGAAAGGCCTCTGGCACATATGCATCATGGTGTTCTGGGTTCATGGCCCCTCCATCACGTTGATCTGTTCCTGAGTGGTTGAATATGCTTTTCCTCTGTGGAGCCAGAAGTGAGAAAGCCCATCCTGCAGGATGGTGGAATCAATTTTATTAATCCCACCCAGAATGTATGGCTCCTGGTCTGGACTTGCTTCCTCAAGATTGTTCACGAATGAAGTAGGCCCAGCGTCTTGGGCGAAAGTTCCATAAAGATTCCTCCTTTATTATTGCCACTCCTGCTGTGTAGGAGCCTTAGATGAGAGAGTTATCAAAGGTTCTTGAAAATCAAAGCCTATAATATCTGCTGGATTTTGCTTTGCATGCCTGGCCTCTTCAAATGATTCTCAAAGGTGAATACGAGTAGTCCTCGACCCACAACCATTCGGTCAGTGAACATTCCAAGTTACGACAGTGCTGAATGAATGGTGGTTATGACCAGTCCTTGGAGTTCCAGTTGTCCCAGCACCCCTGCAACCACTTGATCATGATCTGGGTGTTTGGCAACCCGTTTGCACTTATGACTGGTTGCCAAGCCCCTGCAATCATATGATCACCATTTGCAACTTCTCTGCCAGCTTCTCCAGAAAGTCAATGGGGAAGTGGCAGGGAAGGTTGCAAGTCGCTGGAGTAAGTCTCCTCCAGCCCCTGTGTGCTCACGCTGGCCACTTGTGCACCCTCCCCGACCTGTGCTGTGCCTCTCACGCACCATCCCCGACCCACATGGTGCCTCTTGTGCACCCCCTTGTACCCTCCCCAACCCACTGCGCCTCTTGCACACCCCCTTGCACCTTGTCCAACCTTCTCTATCTCGCGCCGTGCCTTGTGCGCCCTCCCCAAGCCTCCCTGACCCACACAATGCCTCTTGCGCAGACCCTCATGCACCCTCCCCCGTGCCCCCACACGTCCCCTCACTTTTTCCCCCACCTGACAGTAGCCACTTACCTGCCTGCGGGCCTGGGACTTGCAACTTCCTGCTGGTTTCCCCACTGATTGCCGGGATTGCTGTCATTAAGTGATGTGGTCACACTTTACGACTGGATTGCTTAGCAACAGAAATTCCGGTCCAAATTGCTATTGTAAGTCGAGGACTACCTGTAAAAGAAAGATCTCCTGTGTCTGAACCTGTATTTACCTTTGCTGTAGCCCAATGCGTCCCTCTTCGAAGCCTGCTGCAGCGAACGCATTCAACAATTTGATGATAATGAAGAAGAGGAGGATATTTGGGAGGAGAATGATACAAACTATGCAGTCCAAGCCAAATCAAGGTCACGGTAAGATGAAAGGTGGAGTTTACCCCTTCTGAGCTTGAAGAATATATTTTGCATTTGGGTCTGGGGTAGAAGATGTTGGCTGTGCTAAGGCCGAATTTGGGAGAGGAAGGCTAGAGTGGATCAGGTTGACTGACTTTGAACAACCTGTACCCTGTTTTATATTGTTGTGTTCAGTGTGCTTTGCCATATTGACAGGAATGGAAGCTTCACCCTGGAATTTGTTACTGTGTTGGATGTATCTTGGGGATCTTATTTTTTTCCAGATCTTAGTGGCAGCACCCAGCCATCCTTGCTTGATCTCAGTGAAGCAGGGTTAACCTGGATAGTTCTTGGATGGGGGATTACCTGGAAATACTGGGACAATTGGGTAGACTGGGAAGTTGGAAAAACTCCCTGGAAGAAGGCAGCAGAAGATACGTATCTGCTGTGCCAAAGAAACGACATGGGTGTGCCCATGAATTTACCAGATATCAGGTTTGACTTGAAAGAGACTTCATGTATGTTAGGCTCCAGGATGCAATGGTTACTTACATGGTTACTTGAAAAATGTGTGTGGTAAAATAAATACAGGCTCAAGAATAAATAAATGTGGACAATGCAGAAGAGAAGGACCAGCAGAAAGGTAATACTTCAGGATGGTTTGATCATAGAGGCAATAAATGAGAATTGCATTGCAAAACAATTTTTTGAAAGGAGAATGAGCTGGTCAAGAGGAAGGAGAAGACCGAGAAAGTTCTGATTGGGGGAAGTTGATGAGATCCTGAGAAAAAAGAAGTGGGAAGTTTAAGGATTCCCTTGCCCCCAGTACAGAGGAATTAATGCTCATTTCTGTTGTTTTGGGCAAAGCTTGAAAGGACTTTAAAAGAACAGAGCGAGTAGGCAAAGTTGAGCTCTGCAGAAGGAAGGTTCCTTGAGTGCCTTTGCTGGATAGCTGCCCACCTTCCAGATAACTACAGTCATCCTGCCTACCTCTGCAGCTTTAGAGCTGGAAGGAGGGAAACCAGATGTTCACCATACTCATCCCACAGTTGCTCTGGTAAATCTGTTGTTTGAAGACTTGGATGTAAAACAGGCAGCTTGAGGTGCCCAGCCCTTGTCTGCGCAGTTCCTTATTGTCCTTTTGTTTCTGGGTTGCCTCAGGTTTGGAGTACTTCACTCTGTGGAAGTTTCAGCCAAAGGTGGCTTAGAAAATGGGGAGCATGATGGCTGCATGGACTCTGGGGAAGAGGAGGCAGAGAAGGAGGCAGCTGTCCATTCTGAGGACCCCTGGAAGGAAGTAAACCAGGCCATGGATCCCCCTCCTGAAGGTAATGAGATTTGGGGGGGTGCATAGCTGGACCTCTGGAGCTTTTGCTACGAGTCAAAATAGCTGCCAGCCTGCACGTCCTTACTGTGGCTCTACAGTGCTCGTATTTCTCAATGCTGCCAGGTTGGAGACTTGAGGGCAGGGTGGGCAACTGCCACAGCGCTATCCACTGCCAAGCAAAGGGAGATGCCTGCCTTTAATTCAGTTCCCCTGATTTCTCTAAGCATGGTCTGCTTGTTGTACGTAGATGGGAGATCTGTTGAAGCTGGTGCAGGGGACTAACATAGGTTGGGATTGAGCAGACAGTGCCACACCATGCACTTGATAGAGATGCCTACCTCTTGCAGTCCAAGACAGGACCTGTTCAACATGGTTGCAGCCTCTGGAGGATTTTTCTGCATTTGCATGCCCGTCCACTGTGAAATAGTTGCTTCCACTGTTTTTTTCACAAGTAAATGGAAGATCTCTATATGGACAAAAGTTGATTCCTAGCAATTAGTGCCACTAAAATATTGTTATTGTCCATTTCACTTTACAAGCTTCAGAAAACTGAAATCCCGTTTCTACCAGCTTGAAGTCTGGATTCAGGCTTAATTGCAAGGCTCTTTCTAAGAAAGAGTGATACCAAGACTTAGGCAGCATGTTGTATTTAACGTTGGTACAGTGGAATAACTGTCAAAACCAGCATGTAATTTTTAAGGCGTTTTTTATCATAAGAAACTCACTGTATGGAACAAACACATCCAACTGACTTCTTATGACCCTGTTCAGTTTCAGTGGCTTGACCAAACCTGGCTAAGACTGATGTTCAGATACTCAAGCTCTTTGCCCGTCCCTTGTAGAAAGTCATCCAAATGTGGCTGTCATCCTTCTAGTAATAGTGGTGCCTCTGAGGCAAGAATAAAGACTCTTGGCTAAAGTCTTGCGAGTCAGGCAGAGGATCGGATCCTGCGTCCAGCAGAGCCCGGCAGGTCCATGAAATAAGTGGCTGAAACGACTGCATAGAACAGGAAAGAGTAAACAGTGAGGCAACAGATTTGGAAAGAACCCAAAATGCTGGCTGTTTTCCTATATTCCAGGTTGTTAAAGGGGAGAGGGAGAGGGGGAGAGAGAGAGACACACACACACACTTGGGATGACATGACACCTCTAGATGTGGGGATGGGGGTTCCGTGGCTTTGCAGAATCTTTGCCAACTGAGCAATTCTGGGTTGCATGGTAGAGTTTCTGACTGGTCAGGCCTGTTAGAACCACTTAGCCTTCACTGGATGAAAAACTGTGTCTTTTGTGTCTTGTAGGGTCTGGATGGAGGACAGCACTTGAGCCCGTGAAGTCCAAGCCTCCAGCCTCTTGGGTGGCCACAGACATAGGGTCCAGTGTGTGGGATTCGGTAACTCCCGGCATGAAAGCTTCTGAAGAGAGAGGCTGGGCCAAGTTCACTGACTTCCAGCCTTTCTGTTGGTAAGTGGGTAGGATGCCCAGCCGTACATGCCTGCCAGGCCCAGAAGAGTCCAGTCTGGAAGGAGGAGGGTATGTCATCAAGCAGTTTGTCTTCCCGGTGGCTGCCAGAAAGGAGCTTAGGGATGCTCCGAAACTGAGCAGGAGGAGAGCTTTCTGCTGCACGTTGCTTCCGGCTACAGAGGAGGGCCTGTTTCCAGCCGCCATTACATGGCTCATGGTGTCTGTGTGTCCAACCCAGTGCCCGTTGAGGCCCCTCAGTCCTTCTTTGTACCTGCTCATCCAGTTTGGGCAGAGGGTGTAGTATTCTGAAACATTGGGCAGCTCTGTTTGTTAATTAAGAAATGAAACCTTCAGGACCACTCTTGGTAGGAATCCGTCTCATGGCCCTGGTGGGAGGGAGCAGAGGACATTATCTGAAACTGCCAGAGGCAGACAATGAGTTAGATGGTGGATACTGACTTCCTCTGGATCATCTCAGGGCAAACCTTCTGGTTGCTAATTCAAGGTTTGGCCCTTTCGGTCACTCTTACTGTGGAAGTCTCCAAAGGATTACAAAGCATTCCAGTCCATTTGGGCAACTGTTACTGTTGATTCAAAGGAAGGGTGACGCAGTGTGTGCTTACAGTAGGAAATGCCTCCTCTTTTCCAGCAGTTTGCAGCCCATGTCTTCGCCTCTCCTGAGCACCCCCATGGCTTTCTCTCTCCTCCATCTAGGCATTTTTCTGCGGTGCTTTTGCACAAAGACAGTTCAGGGCAGTTCAAGAGCAGTGTTTTGGGCTGCGGCAGCTGCCTTTCAGCAGCTGTTCCAGGCATGAGAAGAAGAGCCAACTGGCGTGTCTTGCCACCAGTGTGTGCTCCTTTTCTTTCTGGGTGGGCAGGTGAGGGCAGCTGGTGTGGAGAGAGGAGGTGGCTGAAGGTGTAGAAGCAACTGTGGCTAAAGCAGGTTAATTCAGAGTGCTTCCTGTTAGGTACCGCCAGTTGAGACTCTAGGCAGCCGTCTCAGGCTTTCCCTTAGAATGACTGCCCTGCAAGCATTGCGGGGAGAGATTTTGTCTCTTCTGTGGCACAAAACTGGAGGAGGTATTTTGTTTCCCAAGGCCGCCCAGAGTGCCTACCCCATAGCTGCTCCAGTATTCTGCATAGGTATCCTCTTGGCTGCATTTGGGTTTCACCCAAGGAGCTGTGTGCAAGACCAGAAACACACAACTCTCAGAGACAGCCTTTGATACCTTTTCCCTTCCAGCTCTGAAACAGCTCCCAGGTGCAGTTCCCCCGTGGACAACGAGAACAGCGGTTCCGAAGGAAATCCCAAGCAGAGCCAAGACGAGAACTGTAAGTGGCCACCGTCGCCCTAGCGGTCATCCCTTCGGCAAGGCAGGAAGGGAAACTCTTGGCAGGGCCTTTGGTGTGGGTCAGCAGACTTTGCCAGGTGCTGTGCCACTGGATATGTTCTGGGATTCCCTTTTTCTGGTGCAGGGTGTCTTGGACTTGGGGGGGGCAGTACTTCCCTGGGAGTCTGCTGGAAATCCCTCCCTCCCTCCCTCCCGCTGAATGCCAAGGATTCCAGCCGCTAGCTTTGCCTGGCTGCTGCCTGCCTTTCTCCTCTGGGACTGTTGCCTGTTGTAAGAGGCAAGAAACCTATTTTAGATATAATAACACTTGGCCTCCACCAGCTGGCAGCTCAGGAGCTTGAGCTACATTTTAGAACACTGATGGTCTTTTAAGCAGGGCTTAGCAGAAATTTAGAGTAGTTCTGCTAGGAACCCCCTAAAAGGTTATTGAAAGAGTGGAATGGCTTCAAAAGAAAGCAGAGTCCTCAGCACTGCCGAAGGCATTATAGGTGAGAATTAGCCAGTGGTCCCCATAACTGGGCTCTGGAACAGACAACAACTTGCCCCACCCCACTGTGAGATGGCTTTCTGAAGGCTGTCTGTGCAACTGGCCCTGTCATATCTCTGATGCTCAAGTGCTCCAGTTTCTTCTTAATTTCTGAGTTTGCCAGCTATTTTAAGGGAACCCACAAAAAGAGCTGATGCTGTGCGTGTGCATGTGTGGTCTGGTGCACTGACCTGCTGTGGGGGAGAGTCTTGCATGATGGGGCATTGCGTGCTTCTCCCTGTACAGTGAGTGCTGCCTCCCCTTGCGTCTGGAACGTCTGTGTGGCACGGAAGGCACCCTTGGTGGCCTCAGACAGCAGCTCCTCTGGTGGCTCAGACAGCGAGGAAGAGGAAGAGATGGCCAATGTGGTCACAGAAACCATCAGCACAGGTTCAGGCCAGGAAACCGTCAAGCTGACTGTGGATGCTAAGAACGAAAAGGCCCTCTTTATCAGGTGCGGACGTGGTTAGCAGGGGATTGGTGGCGAGGGCAGGAAAGTCCTGACCCCTGGCCCAGAGGCACTCTGGATGTCTGGGCAGGCCCCCGATCCTGGGCAATGAGTTGAAGTCAGGCTTGTGGCACTGAGCAGCCAGGGAGGGGCACATCTGCCTTCTTGCCAGTGGCCCACTCTGCCTAGGCAGAGGGGATGAGGAAGCTTCAGAGGAGAAAGCTCCCCGGATCAGGAGAACTGATGGGTGCAATCTGGTGGATTCAGTCATTTGTGCTCCACCTTATATCAGCAGCCCACTTACAGAGTGAAGGAGTAGAAACCTCTTCGGAAGGAAGCCCAGCAGATTGAATGCTCTTAAAGCCGTTTGTGGCCCAGAGACTTTGGAACAAAAAGCAAGCTTAGAAAATTATTTCCTTCCCCTATAAATAAATTACCAACAGAGATTAGAACAGCTTGTATAGCAGCAGAAGGTGGTGATACTCTGATCAGCTCCAGAGTGGAGGTGGAACCCAAGGAAGACACACGGAAATGCCTCCCAGGGATCTAACCTCCCAGGAGCCCTTTTCCTAGGAGTAGCTCCAGTTCCATCCTTCCTCTGTACTTGAAGTGTTATTGTGGCTCCCTCAAACTTTTCTTGGAAGGAGTGTGGTTGTGGATTATTGAGGGGGGCATCCCAGGTGAACCGTTTTATTAAGAAGGCTTTAAAAGGAAGAAGCAATCAGGCAATGATAGTCAGAGCAGTGGGTGCTTTTCCATTGTCTTAGAACAAGAAGTCTCATGGGCTCTAAAAGATGAATGGGCTTTTTGAAGCACCCACCTTAATGTAGAACTACAATATCTGACATTCTGAATTTCCTCTGCAAGAATGGACCTGGAACTCCTCTAATAACTGTGGCTCTAATGTCATTGATCAAGAACTGTTATAGACAAGGAGGCAACCTTTGGGCAAGCCCAGGCTGGCCAACCAGGCCATTAAGTAGGCTGGTGACATTGTCCAGCAGGGACAAATGTGCATTTAGCTGGAGGTGAAAACAAGTGGAGCTTTTTGTCTTTGTCTTCTGGATCTCTCCTCTAGTAGATTGGTCCTAGGAAGAAACCTTGTCCTTCATTATCCATTTCATCCATTGCATTTGATTAGGGTTGTAGCTGAAAATATGCCAGGTCCACCAAACTGAAAAAATTGATACGATTGTGTCAGAAGATTCGTTGATTGAAAGTGGATTAGATGCTATTTTGAGGAAAAATAAGAAGTGTATAGGTCTGTTAAGGAGTATTAATTTTGAAGACTGTTACTTCTCAGTTGGGGATAATATCGCTCCAAATACCAGATTCAGGAAAACAGTGGTGGAAGAAGGGTAGGTCTCCACCTCTGCTCATACGTACTCCAGAGACATCTAGTTTATGATGTTTAGTTTAGTTTAGACCATTTATTTATTTATTTATTTATTTAATTTTTATTTATTTATTTATTTATTTATTTATTTGTTTGTTAGATTTATATCACAACATCTTACTGGAGTTGAAGAAGGCAACTGTAGAGCTCCATCATTCAGTTTTTCACTGCATTGGGTTTTGGCTCTTCTTATGTCCAGATAGGCAATATTGTCAGTGAGTTTCTAATATAAGGTGGGGCTTTTATGACCAGCACAAATGAGGCTGTTTGGATCTGCAATGGCCAGGCCATGGTTGCTCTCTGTTCTTTCTTTTGATCTCTGATGGCGCATCCCTGGGGTGGTACGGCTAGGCTTGAGCATGTTATGGAGAGACTGTGCCTTGGGTCCCTGGGAGAAGGAGTCTGGGGTCCTGAAGGTTGGTCTGGCCAAGGAGGAGCAGCATGTAGGTTGGTTTTCTCTCCTGGAAAGAGGCTTTCCTCTTCTTTTCCTTGTCCCTGGGACTGTGGTCTGGGAGAAATCAGAGCCGCTTTACTGCCTTCTGACACATTGGGCTGTTATCAATTCAAAGCAGGCTCATCTTTGTCCCTGGGCTTCTGCTGCAGTAGAGGTCCTAGATGCAGTCTGGAGTTGAGAGCAGAAGGCAGGGAATGGAGTAATGCTACTTTCAGGGGGGAGGGAGGGAGGGAAAACATCCAATTGTGTCTTCATCAGATCCATCACAGAATGTTTTTTAAAAGCAGGAGCAGCACTTACTCAGGTGTCACCCCTGTCTTTGTCAGTTGTATAGTCAACTACTCTTCTCTGTGACAGGAGGGGCCTTTGCTCATTTAAGCCTGGGTGGATGCACATTGCAGGTTGGGATTTGCTCATGGAATGACTGGAGAAGGTTCTGGGTCCCTTAGATTTATGTGAGGAACAATCTGCTTCAGATCAGGACTTTTGGCCTTTTCAGCCAGAACCCCCTGGGAAAAACAGTTCTTCTGTAGGATGCTGAACTCAGTGGTTTTCTGCCTGTGGTGGGATTTATTTTGGCTGGGGCCATCTCTTAGGGGAAGACTGCTCCATGGCAGATCTCTTCCTTCAAAGAAGTCTGCCTGAATCTCTTGAAATTATCCCTCTCCAGGATGGGCTCCTATATCTGAAGCTGGCCAAGGGAAGGAGGGGTCAGAAGTGGGGTTTTACAGTCATTTTTTATCTCTCTCTCTCTCTCCCTCCCTCCCTCCCTCCCTCCCTCCCTCCCTCTTTCTCTCTCAGAATAATTAGGCCTGCAGTTGGAGGGTATGTATACCAGCAACTCTGCAGGGTTCGAAACATCCACTTGACAATTATACTCTCCTTTAATGGCCAAAATTTGCAATGACGGCTGAAATCCCCAAACACTTCAAAGAATAACTTTCACAAAATTTAGAAGGCCCCAATTTTTATGACTGAAGTTAGATTGAAACTTCTGGCACTCACATTTTGTGCCCAGTGTCAACAGGAGCTGGCAGATTGAGCAGTAGCTTACAGCCTTATGATGTGCTCAAGATGAGCCAGGCTGACCTTGCTGCGCATTGGTTGTGGTGTGCTACCGCACATCCAAGCTTGAAACAGACCAAGTGTTTAATGTTTCCTCTCACGCAAGTTGCTCATGGCTGTTGCACATATAATTAAAGATGGGAAATTAACCTGACTTCTTCCATATTTTGCTCAGCTGATCTTCTGTCTTTGCATGAAAGTTACCTATGAAAACAAAATGTTAAAATGAGAACAGATTTAAACTTCGCAATAGTATGGTATGATTTGAATGCTTTTTTCCATGTGGAGCCATGGCATCCTAGAGTATGTATCCCCCATTCATTCTTGAGATGGGGTTAGAAAGAATTTTGATGATGCTTTTGCTAGGAGGACATGCCACCTTTCCTGGTCCCAACTTTGCCTTGCTTTACAGAGCATGCACACACTTTCCTCCTCCTCAGGTGACCTCAACATGGTGGATCTTTGCTGCTTCTCTTTTTCCTTTCCTTTCTCTCTCTCCCCAGGCCATCAAGTGAATGGACAGCAAGCCATTATCCAGGGATGTGTTGGAGGCCCCCCCATGTCCTCCTCTGGAGATGTTGGCCAGAGCTGTATCCATACTGGTACAGACACTGCTTCTCTAGGGAGGTGGATGGCCTGGGTACCAAAAGGGATGGATGCTCAGTCCCCATCTTTTCTCCAACTTCATCAACTGGCTCTGCCATGTAATCTCCCCCTTGTTATCCCCCTAACCTTCTACTACATAGTTCCCAGGAAAGAATATAACATACCAATTTGGCTGGAGCCTCTCTGGACTAGGATTGCACCAGTCATCACCCTCCCTCAAAGGTGCAAAAGCCATTTTGGCTCTTCCCAACTGAATTGAACTGCAGGAGGAGATGGAGGAAATGGCACTGGTCTCTGGCCCCCTTATCTGAGGCTCAAGGTACCATCGCAGGAGGAAGGGCCAGTCAACCCAGCAAGGGAGGGATGCCCAGTCACCATCCTTTACAATTGTGACACTTCAAGATCAGTAAGGGAGGAGGAATTGCTGAAGCAGACCAGTGGCTATTCTCCACCAGGTAACTCTTCCAAGAATTAGATTTCTACCAGCTTCTCAGGAAATTCTGGAGGCCTCAAGGTATCAGAACTGTTTGTCCCCAATAATGGGCCTACAGGTAACAGAGATGTTCCTGGTGGCCAGGAATCCCACCTCATGCCTCCTGTTCCTCAGAACATTCAACAATATTCTGGTGGCAGAATCAGAGGTCTCTGGAACAATGAAGTGTGGCTCCTCCCTGGTTGTCAAACTCTATACCTTCTTCCATATACCATAAATTGTCTCAACTCACTACCTAGTAGACTTCTTTGCGGCAGCACTGCTGGGGATCATAATAAGGTCTATCAGAGGACAGATCCAAAATCCTACCCCACAGCAGAGCTCAAAAGGCTATAGTCCTACTCATAGGGCCTTCCTCACTACCTCAGTTCTTGCAGGAACTTATGGAAGTTCTTGCAAACTCAACATATCTGGACAGAAGAAGCTCAGACAAGGGATGAACAAACTGCCAAAGACCACTGCCTTCATGGCAGATGCTGGTCTGAACAGTTCTCAGTCAAAGCCATGTTGGCCATCAGAAGGCAGTTGTGGCTGAAAAATTGCCACAGAGATTCCAAATCAAAGACAGTTCTGATACAGTGTTTGTTCAAAGGGAGCAAGCTTTGAACAAGAGGGTCCCCTAGGTGAGGTTCTCATGAAAACCAAGGAAAAAAGAAAGCTGTGCATTTAACCAACACAAACTGTAGGGTAAGGACAGCAAAATGTTAGGCTAAACTTTCCGTTGCTTTTGCCCCTACCACATGAGCAAACCCTGGGACCACAGAAAGCATAGATCATCCAGACGAAGGGCAAAGACCCCAAGACATAGCATTCTTGTGGGTGGGAGGCTAATGTATTTTGCTTATCTATGGATGCATTTAACATCAAAGGCATAGGTCCTAAAAACTTCTTTGCATGGCTATAACATAGAATCCTCCCAAGTTCACTTCATTCCATCAACAGCTCACAAGTGACTAAATGCAGTCTGATCCTAAATGCCATAAAGCACCTACAGAGCCTACAGGTGTTCCAGCTGGTCATATGAGGCAAGAAATTCTTAGGCTCATATCCATATTCTTAAGTGTTTCAGAGAAGAACATGAAATGTTGCATTATTCTGGATCAGCAGTGAGTGACAATTGCACTAGATACTGTAAGATCCAGATGGGGATCTGAGATCTGTTACAGAATCAGTGGTTAAATACTCCAATTCATCCCTCCTACAGGACATTCCTAAGGTTTGAATATCAGGACTCTCACAGTTCAAGTCCTTCCATTCTGTCTTACATCAGTTCCCAGACTGTTCATGAAAGTGATGGTGTCTGTGGTAGTTCATCTTGGATCCTAGAGAATATATCTGTACCCCTGCTAGAAGACCTATTAAGCCAACACCCGTTGATCAAGCAGAAGGATATTAGCACTGTGAGGTGGACTTTTGTGGACCTGGGATTCCTGGTCAACAAGGGCAAAGGTGTTCTTCAACCAAAACATAGCCTATAGCGCCTCAGTGCCATTCTAATAGAAAGTGGCACGATTTCCATACAGCTGTGTCAGAGTTTCAGATTAGACACTTAGACTTCACGATACTCACCAGTCTCCAGACCAGATCACGGAGTTAGAAGATTACCTGCTCCAGCCTCTTGCTTAGTGCTTCACTAAAGCATCTCTGACATGACCAGCCTGTTGAAAATGTCCAGTGAAGAACTCCTGTCCTCTCTGGGAAATTCTTATCTTCCCAGATGCATTGTAATATAGAAATTCTACCCTCGAGTCTCTTCATTTTTTTTTTCAGTAAGGACATAAACTTGCAGCAGGTGTAGTTTGGGTCCTCTTCAGGCAGGAAGACAAATACTGCACACAGTTTGAAAAAGACAGTGCTTCCCTTGGTGTCTGTATTGCTTGCAGTCTCCCTCACCACCTATGCTAGATGTTTGTCTGCATAGACTGAGTACTTGGGCAAGATTCTACTCAGGTGCCCTCTGGTGGATGCATCTCCCCTTCCAGAGCTTAATAATCTAGAGTTTCCAGAGTTACCTGATGAGCCTCATGAGGATGAGGAGCTTCCTTGATGGAAGATTTTTCCAAGAACAGGAACATACAGTCCTTTGACCCAGTCCAGCTAATCACAGATGCCAGCCTCAGAGGATGAGAGGTACATTGTCTGGGTCAAGTAACCAATAGAGTCTGATGGAAACCCAGAACAAGTTCTGGGACTAAGCAGCATGACTAGCTCTGACTGCATTTCCAAATGTCCTAAAAGGCCAAGTCCTCCTCATAATATGAGCTTACATCAGGAGAAAAGGAGGAAGCATGTCAAGATAACTGATGAAGGAAGAAGCCAAACTCCTGTGCTGGGCCAAGCAAAACGTAACATTTGTCATGCAGTACGTGTCTAGGGAACCCACCACATGGTTGGATTGGCTCAACTGTGAACACCTGGAGCCTCAGCTGTTTTCAACCAACTCATGTTGATGTTTGGGAGGCCAGCAGTGGAGC